CTCCCCCCCCTCCTCCCCCCCTCCCTCTTTTTCTATTCCTGTCAACGGAATATAAAATTAAATATTTACGAGAGCAGATATTTTATATAATTTTAATATAATTTACTTTATTCTCGTATAACGTGCATTAATATTTTATGTTTTACGAATTAGCATTTAAATCAATTTTGACATTTTGATCGTATTTTATTATATTTTACATACAGAAAGAATAATTTTGCTGAAGAATCCAAATTTAACTAGATACAGATTTAAAAATAATTTCGTTGGACTGTCAAAAATATGTATTATATACGAATTATGACGCTTAAGCATAATTAATGAACAATACTATAAAAAATGTGGGCATTATGGTAATAGTTTAAGGCCTACATAATTGTTTATATGTGTATATGTGTGCGTGCGTGTGTGTGTGTGTGTGTTAAAATAAAAGGCTAAAAATGTAGCTATATACATATATATGTATATATAGAGCTAAATTTTTAGTTTTTTATTTTAATAAACCGTTCTTTCCGTGCAATATAACAATATAAACATCATTCAATTTAAGAATAGACAAGTTGATATCTATATAAATTATTATTTAATATACAATATATATGTGTATACTGTCTATAATACTTTTTTACCTAATAAATGTATCATATATTTATATGTGCATCGAAGATATCAGAAATGTTTGATCCCATTTCGCAATATCAAGTATTTTAGTTGTATTGCAACCAATATGAAATTTTGACAAGCAAGCTTAGCAATAAACACGTGTTAACACATACCAGCACTTTGATCCATAACTAAGATCAACTATTTGATCAATGGTCGCATGTCGAGGCAGCTCAAGCCTGGCTTGATAATATCGGAAAGTATGCGCCCTATGCGCCAAACCTTGCGGCTAACTAAATATTTGGCCACACTGTGGGCAGATCTACTAAAATTGTCCAGCACCCCACCCTCAAAATAGTTAACAATAATCGATAGACCGCTGTTTTGAAACAAAGTGATGACAATGCATTGTTACGAAATTACAACGAAGACACCACGCGGCGCTTCACTGATTTATCGCCTTATAATAATAATGGAGTAGTACACCTGTTAGAGTAACAGATTTTATTATTTTAAATGACAAAATATTAAATTGTTTTTAATAAATAATGATTAAATAAATATATAACTTTAATAGATAATGAATTAAATTTAATAATAAAACATTTCGTTATTTTTAATAAATAATAAGTAAATAAATACACAACTTCAATAAATAGTAAAATATTTATTAATAAAATAAAAGTAATTATAAGGCTCTCTATATGTTGTGTGTGTGTGTGTGTGTTAAAATAAAAGGCTAAAAATGTAGCTATATACATATATATGTATATATAGAGCTAAATTTTTAGTTTTTTATTTTAATAAACCGTTCTTTCCGTGCAATATAACAATATAAACATCATTCAATTTAAGAATAGACAAGTTGATATCTATATAAATTATTATTTAATATACAATATATATGTGTATACTGTCTATAATACTTTTTTACCTAATAAATGTATCATATATTTATATGTGCATCGAAGATATCAGAAATGTTTGATCCCATTTCGCAATATCAAGTATTTTAGTTGTATTGCAACCAATATGAAATTTTGACAAGCAAGCTTAGCAATAAACACGTGTTAACACATACCAGCACTTTGATCCATAACTAAGATCAACTATTTGATCAATGGTCGCATGTCGAGGCAGCTCAAGCCTGGCTTGATAATATCGGAAAGTATGCGCCCTATGCGCCAAACCTTGCGGCTAACTAAATATTTGGCCACACTGTGGGCAGATCTACTAAAATTGTCCAGCACCCCACCCTCAAAATAGTTAACAATAATCGATAGACCGCTGTTTTGAAACAAAGTGATGACAATGCATTGTTACGAAATTACAACGAAGACACCACGCGGCGCTTCACTGATTTATCGCCTTATAATAATAATGGAGTAGTACACCTGTTAGAGTAACAGATTTTATTATTTTAAATGACAAAATATTAAATTGTTTTTAATAAATAATGATTAAATAAATATATAACTTTAATAGATAATGAATTAAATTTAATAATAAAACATTTCGTTATTTTAAATAAATAATAAGTAAATAAATACACAACTTCAATAAATAGTAAAATATTTATTAATAAAATAAAAGTAATTATAAGGCTCTCTATATGTATAAAATAGTATAAATATAAAGAGGGCAAAGAGCCAAGTAATTTAACAAACAAGTTTAATTCAAACAATCATATAAACATATCTAAAACAAACGTTTCGACTCCGATCGGGTCATTTTCAATGTTACATAAAATATATAAAATATTATAAATTAAAATTTACTGCATACATTCTTGATAAAGTTTTTTTATTTATTAATGAAATATTAAATTACGTTATTATGTGTTAAATTTTCCAGATTTGCATTTTCTTTTATAAACAAAAAAATAATAAACGTTTTCCGTTTCTTTAATCTAGATTACGTCAAGTTTTGCGATACGCGAGCGTATGCTCGGGCCAGACTCGGTGTTTAATATTTACTATGCAGGCCACGTTATAATAGTTATGATACGATGGATCGGAGTAATAATACGGTCGGCACGCCGGTACGCTCAGTCATATTTCATGCTCTTAATACAGTTCCAACGTAATATTATATAGGTACGCTTCGTCACCGAGGGGCGCGTCTCTTTTCCGGATCCCAAAAGTTGCCAATAATTTTACATAATCGCTTCAGCGTATTATCTCATTCCACAGAAATGTATTTTCTTAATGCGTGAACTGCAAGTTTCACATTACACGCAACGATCGACAACAGTGTCATCGAATTATTGGAAAAACAGGTAATAATTGTTTTTGCGTCAAACAATTAATAATTGATTACGTTGAGCAGAAAAAGCAACTTTGCAATTGTTACAAAATTCTGTAATACGATCACAATTTTATTCTTAATATCTTACTGGATCTAAATGTGTAAGTCAATTATATTAAAGAATTTTACAACAGTTGTAAAGTTGTTTTTTGTATTCAGCTTAATTATTATAAGTTGATCATATTTTTACTTCAACATTATTACACGAAAGATCGAAATATATTGTAACATTAATAATTCTAAAAATCTTGCAAAAATATTTCATTTCAAAGAACAGCAAATAAAAATTAAAAGAAAGGAATTTAATTAATATTTTAAATATTGGATATGCATGGATATTTCTATAACGATTTACCAAAAAAGAAGAATGTCGTATAAGCGTATAAATAAATTGTTAGCAAAATTAATTTTATAATGAATATATACAGGGTGTCCCATTTTAATCTATCGGTCGAAATATCTCCTAAAATACGCCAGCTATAAAAAAATGTTTCAAATAAAAATGGAATGGTGTCGAGGGGGACACGTTTTAGTCACATTGTTTTTTTTCTAAGTGGAGGCGCTAAAAAGATATGAAGGTCACCTCCACTTTTTTAAATGGAATTATGTAATTTTTTTTAGATAACGTGATTCCTCTAACTATTTTGCATATAAAAGTATTAAGGTAGAGATACCAAAAAACCAATAGTTTTCGAGATATTTTACACTTTATTTTGGTACATTTTGACACAAAATGTTAAATAACTCGTAAACTGTTGACTTTTTGATTATTGTACCTTAATACTTTTGTGAATAGAATAATAAGATAAATCAATTGGTATAAACAAAACACATAGTTGCTTTAAAAAAAATATGTATGCAAAATGGATAATTTTTTAAATACGCGACTATGTGTTTTCTTTATACCATTTGATTTATCTCATTATTCTGTTCACAAAAGTATTAAGGTACGATAATCAAAAAGTCAACAGTTTAGGAGTTATTTAAAATTTTGTGTCAAAATGTACCAAAATAAAGTGTAAAATATCTCGAAAACTATTAGTTTTTTGGTATCTCTACCTTAATACTTTTATATGCAAAATAGTTAGAGGAATCACGTTATCTAAAAAAAATTACATAATTCCATTTAAAAAAGTGGAGGTGACCTTCATATCTTTTTAGCGCCTCCACTTAGAAAAAAAACAATGTGACTAAAACGTGTCCCCCTCGACACCATTCCATTTTTATTTGAAACATTTTTTTATAGCTGGCGTATTTTAGGAGATATTTCGACCGATAGATTAAAATGGGACACCCTGTATAATATTTAAAATTAATATTTAAATGTATAATATTATATATTTACGACAAGATTATCGTTCATACATAAAAATTAATTTCGTGTATGATATGTAGAATGGCATATTCGTGCACACTAATACGATTATTCTTATTTCAATAAGAATCAAAGATAAAAAAAGCAAATAAATAATTCATTATTTTATTATATTTGTATGCTTACACTCGATACAGTCGACTAATGCACGAATCAATGAATTCGTGGAGCCATCTTTTTTGTCATTTGAAATTATTCAAATTTGCCGCTCTGCCGATAACATTGACTTGTCATTTTCTTCATTCATAGAAATAATTACACAAAATACAAGTAGTACTATATAATATATCAAATATTATATTTCTCTATTAATATATATATATATATATACATATATATAGAACATAAACAATTATTAAGATCCCACCTATTTTTATTGTATTTAAATGACGCATTACTATAGAATGTTAAGAGATTAAAGCGCGCTTTTATCGATAAAAATTAAAACGCGTTCTGAATATAGATTATGTTTTACTTGTTATCGTTTGTATTAAATTTACACAATCCTATAATATAAAGTATAACCTAGATATTTATATCGACAGTCGAGAAATTCACGTCTTGTATATCCAACAGTCGTAACGTCTGTACTTTCCAATTATCTCATATCTATAACCAAACTTACTTGAGAACAACGAAAATTTACTTGGAAAAGTCTGGCTTTTATTTTATACTATCTTGTCACAGAGAGTGATGTAATACGCATAACGTTCCGTTCAATGAGCTCATTCGCGAGCATGAGCTCCGCGGATCTTACGGAATCCGACCAGCTCCGGTTTTTCTACAGGATCTATCCTGTAGAAGGCGGAACTGGTTAAACGGCTCTAGCAGATCTAATAGTTCTCGCCTTTCACTCGGGGTCTCGCTTGACAACCGATCGATTTCACAACTGCAAATACTATCGACCCCCTGCGAACTAGCGGTTATCGCAAACTACGTCAGCTGTTTGTTCGGACGTGGCCCGCTATCGTACGAGCCCCCCTCGCGTTGTCGGGGATTACACAAGCCCCCTGCAGCGAGGGAATAGGGATTCCTCGTCGCCTCGCCGGGATTCGAAATCTCGTGGCAGCATGCGGTAGAACATCGACCTCAGATCAGCGTGCAAATTCTACAAAGCAACAGCAACAATGTTCTCCTGGAGGAGTGTCTTCTCTGTCGTCTCACAGAAGTTTGGGAGAAAGCTACATTTGTCAAAAGTCCGGTGAGTATGGAACTAATGTTCTTCCGTCAGAGACTTACGTCCACGTGGGCATCTATTTTAATTTGCAAGGCAAAGAATGTGTAACAAATTGTAATACATCATAATGTATATCGTTCACTTGCTACTTGCCATATATTTTTAATTTCTTACAAGAAACAAAAATAAACCACAAAAGAAAAATAAAATTGTAAAAAAAGGAAAAAAACATGTTTTAAAAAAATAAGAAACAATATATTTTAAAGAGCATATTTTTTATTACTTTTTATAATCAATTATTACACCATTACATTTCAAAATTATTATTACAAAATGTGTAATGATTAAAAACTTAATTAATTTAATTTAAACTCTTATTTTCTAGAAAATATTGATTATTTTTTTATATCATTGTAGTAAATGAATATAATATGGAAGATACATATTGTTATATATATATATATATATAACAAATACTTATATATATGAAATTTAGAAATATCAAATAATAATAATACACATTAAAAATAGAAAAATGAAAACAACAAAAAGTAAAAAAGTAGTTTTATTTTTATCTTCAATTTCTATGAAATTTTTTTGCTGATATACTTAATTTTACTAATTTTATATAGTAATAATAAAAAATATTAAATATAATATTTTTTAAAAATCATGATTTTCCGCTATCTTTAAATTACAAATCCTATCGTTTGCAGGCAAGAAGCTGTAATCATAGACGGGACGAAAATAGCAGAACAAATTCAAGAGGAATTAAAGGTGGTTATAGATACTTGTATAAATGCTGGGAAGAAAAGGCCAAAGTTAGTGGCGATATTAGTAGGAAATCATCCATCCAGTAAAGCGTACATTGGTAGAAAAATGAAAGCAGCAAAGTCGATAGGTAATTTTATGTTTACTCTCAACAAACAGATAATTTTCGCATTGCTTAGAATTCGTATTGCTAATCTCCTTTATCAATTGCCAGGAATTGAGAGTTACACCATTCATTTGGGAGAAAATATAACGCAAGCAGATCTTCTTAAGGAAATTGACAGTCTTAACAGAGATCCATCTGTTGATGGTGTTCTGGTACAATTGCCACTGCCGAAAGGCATAAATGAGAGAGAAGTATGTCAAGCGATAATTCCTAAAAAGGACGTGGACGGCTTTCACTTGGAGAACCTTGGTAATCTGACACTGGACAATAACAGTATTGCACCAGCTACCGCCTTAGCTGTTAAGGAATTAGTACTTAGAAGCAAAATCGAAACTTTTGGAAAGAACGCCGTAGTTGTGGGTAGATCAAAACATGTTGGACTGCCTATCGCGCTATTACTTCACGCAGATGGCAAAGGTGATTGACCAACCAATTTGATAATAAAATATAGTTTTATACTAAAGTATCGAGATAACAAATTTTGACGTCACAGACTTTTAAATCATATCACTATTTGCAACATTATCTAAATTCTCGCAATTGTTTAATTTCGTAATGTCAGACTGCCTATCTCTCTTGAGATGTTTAATTTAATTCATTTTTTTTTTATTTCTATCAGTTTGCAGCTTCTTCGTCAATTCATTTTCTTCTTTTAATGAGAAAACTCATTAAAAGTGTTAAATGGAAGTATTGAACGATCATTATTTGACCGTTTGTATTTTTTAGATTATATTTATTATATTAATATTATATTTTTTATGTAAAAAATAAAATATTCTGAAATGTTTTGACTTATCAATAATTTTTTTTATCTTTTAGATTGATGAAATGTTTGGTTTATCATGATTTTTTTATTTTCATAGTAATTTATTTGCTGTCGATCCTTTTAATGAATAAAAAAATGCCAGTACTTTTAATGTTAATACATAACTATTTACTTGAATTTTGCTGAACTTTTTAATATTTTTACCTTTAATTTTCCAAACTAATTGTACTTTCCACTTTCTGCAGGCGAAACGGGTGCGATGGATATGACAACGACAATCTGCCATCGTCACACACCTCACACGGAGTTAGAAAAGTATACGAAACTGGCGGATCTGGTTGTAGTCGCGGCCGGGGTTCCCGGCTTGATTACTAAAGAGATGATAAAACCAGGCGCTTGCATAATCGATGTGGGTATCACCAGGGTGAAGACGGCAGACGGCAAGTATCGTCTGGTGGGAGACGTAGATTACGACGGCGTGAAGGAGGTTGCTGGATATATCACTCCAGTTCCCGGCGGTGTAGGTCCCATGACGGTGGCAATGCTGATGAAAAATACGGTCAAGGCTACTATGAGCAACCAAGAAGACACAAAGCAATCCGATCATTTAGAAGATAGTGAGGCATTTGTATATTGACACATGGCAGTAGATTGTTTCATTTAGAATCTCTATTTAATATTGTCTATATAAATATAATATATATTGTGTTGTATTTTGTAATACACGAATGAAGTATTATTTTTACAAAAATAATATTACAATATTAATAAAGCCGTTTATATTTATTAATTTAAGCAATGTTATCAGATCGTAATATTAGCCTTTTATATTAAAACAAAAATTGTATAGATAAAATTTGTTTTTTTTTTACATACACTTTATCAAGTTCTTTGTTGCTTTTATGTGATTTTTTTGCATAAATGTATTTATTAACTTAATTAACACATTTATGTTAATCCCAATTTCTATGAGATATGCATATAGCACTAAAATCAAGAATCCTTCAAATTCGAAATTAGAAGTCATAGATTAGATCTAAAAGCTTAAAAAAAAAAAGAAGAATCAGGCATCACATAGCAAAAAATATAAATCCGCTTTCATGTATTTTGAATCACTATTCTCTGCTATAATTTAAAATATTTAAATATTTTAAATTTTATAAGAAAAAAATAATTTGTTCTTATAATTGAAGCAGAGAATAAGCAAAGAGTTATAATAACCCGTAAAGCCGTACAAAATTACCAATCATAGTAGAATGCGAGAAATATAATCGACTTTGATTGATCAATTTCTTACGACTTTACGACTTAGGGAATTTTAAAGCGAGGGGACCCAGCCTTAAGTCCATTGTACAATTGCGTAAACATAGTTGTAAGTGGCTGTAGTTGTAAGAATTGACTAATCACAGTCGAACATTTTCTTCGTAATTGACTGTGATTGGTTAATTCTTACAACTACACCATTTATAAACTACGCTTATGGGCCTTCTACAATAAGCCAATACTTAAGTTTTAAGTGTTAAGGCCTGATTGCACCAACGTGATTTCGATTTTAAGCGAAACTTAAACTGTCTCTGTCTCTGTCTCCCTTTCGGCTTTAAAATGAGATAGATAGAGTTTTAAGTCTCGCTTAAAATCAAAAAGTATTGGTGCAACCGGGCCTAAATCATAAGCAATTTACCAATCACAATCGAATGTGAGAAGAATAATCGACTGTGAGTGGTCAATTTCTATGACTTAATACTTAAAACTTAGATAATGGCTTATTGTAGAAGGCCTATTACGCAACTGTAGAATTTTTCCTTTCGGAACAAATTTCTAAGCATAAAATTCATGAATGTATAAAATTACGAAAAGAATTTGGAAGTGAAAGAATATATATTTTATATTACACATTTATCTTGCTCTGTTATCTCAAATCGTGCGAAAGCATAAATTCTATTATTAATCGCAAATATCGCAACAGACGTACGCAATTAATTTTTCATGCGTGTTCGCCAAATGCCAACTCGATATTGCATTGCATCTTTGACTTATAGTCAAAGTATTGCATCGTATCTTCGTATCTCTTTCATTTAATCCGTTAGCCATTTCTACATTTCTAGAAAATTTTGAAAATTACAATATGTAGAGTTAGTGGGGATTAATTTATCGACGTATCATGCGACTATTCGTTCAACTCCGGCATGTCATAAAAGCTGATAAATAATGGTATTCGCGAATGCTGTTCGTTTCATCAGTCAAAGCGAGAGAATCCTTCGTACAAAGAGAATCGGTTGGACAATCTGTGATTATTCAAAAGTTCTGATATCGAATGATTCGAATGTCAAAATGAGTAAATCGAAAATTCTAATTACACGACCAGATATACCTGCTGCAGGCTTAAATTTGCTGCGTAAACGGTGAAACTTGCATTTAAAATATTTAAATTATTGTCATTTTATTTTTCTTTTGCTTCTCTGTTAATATGACATGTCTGCTCAATTTCTTTATAATTTTATACTAGTTTAACTTTACGTTATGACAAAGACAAATGTAACAAGATCAATAATATAAATACTTATTTCATGTACAAAATACGTGTTTATAATTAAATTTAATGTAGATATGTCGTTACTTTATTATAAGTTTAATACTTGTTTTATCATTTACAGATATCATCTTATAATATGGGACAAACCTGAGCCAATACCACGTGATGAATTATTGGCCAAAATCCGAGGAGTAGACGCTGTATTCTGTGTGCTAACGGATAGAATAGATAATGAAGTTCTAGAACATGCAGGTTCACGGTTGAAAGTTGTGGCATCTATGTCAGTGGGCTTGGATCATCTAGACATAAGTAGTTTGCAAAGAAGAAATATTAAAATTGGTTATACTCCAAATGTCCTGACTGAGAGCACTGCAGAGTTGATAATAGCTCTTTTACTAGCCACATCGAGAAATGTGGTACATGCAAATTTAGCAGTTTACAAGTATGTAAACAAGTATATGGAACAAATAAATTCTGATAACCTTGAGACATTTTTCTAACTGTAAATAGTATAAGACTAATATTTTTTTTGTTTTTGTGTCCATTTTTGTCATACAACAAATTTTCAAGCTTACTGATTGACTATATGATAGAGACCCAAGAACTTCTTTGTCCTGTGCAACTAATTAACACGTTTGAAAAATTTGTTGTATGATAAAATGAACAAATATAATATTAATCTTATGATTTTATGATTATAATCTTATATTTACAATTTTGTTCTATTCATGATACAATATCTATGCTAGCTATTGTATCATATTTATACTAAGTCCAAATTTTTCTGTAGATAAAAATTTTTAAACTTCTAAAATTAATAACAAAAAGCTTTAATGAATTTCATATGTTTCTATAACATCACAGAAAATGTATTCTTGTTACGGGTTAAAGATGTATCATAAAATGGCATAATGCTTGCAGTTAAAACTAAATATTATCATGTTTATTACAGAGGTGAATGGACAACTTGGTCACCTTCATGGATGTGTGGTACAGGACTAGCAGGAAAAATCGTAGGAATCGTCGGCTTGGGTAGAATTGGCTGCAGAGTCGCTGAGATACTTAAAAGTTTTAATGTTGCCAAAATATTGTATTTTAACAGAACTGTCAAAGAAGCAGCATATAAATTTGATGGTGAAAAAGTTGATTTTCCCATGTTACTCCAGAACAGTGACTTCGTTATAGTAACCGTGGCATTGACATCACAAACTAAATACATGTTTAATGCATGGGCTTTTAATCAAATGAAGAAAACAGCTATATTCGTGAATGGTAGTCGTGGCGATGTAGTAGATCAACAAGCACTGATCGATGCTCTAAAGAATAAAACAATCGCAGCAGCTGGCATAGACGTTACAACACCAGAACCGCTACCATTGGATAATGAACTTTTAGGGTTAGATAATTGTGGTATGTATATCAATGCAGAGATATTATAAGATAAATATCTCATTGACTAAACTAATAAAAAGTTATGATCAATTTTATATTATTATTAAGTAAAATTAATGATATTACAAAAAAAAATTAGTATTTATATGAAATTTCTTTTGTGAGTGATCAAAAAAATACTAATGTATAATCTAAAAAGAAAAAACATTTAATTTTATTGATATATATTATATCAATTGTATCAGTAACTGAACTGAAATTTTTTAAATTTAATTTTCAGTTTTTTTTACGATCATAAAAAACACTATATACCGTATGTTTCATTTTAATCACAAATTGCCCAAGCAAATATCTCGAAAAATATGAAAGATACGAAAAAATGTTTCAGTTACAAAAATTGTATGGTTTTGAGGGGGACATAAGTACCATTAATTTAACCTTAAATAATTGTATGAATGTCAATAAATGGTACCATGAATGGTACATACAATGGTATACACCATGAATGGTACCATCTTATGTCTCATTTGAAACCTTATAACTTTTGTCTGAAACATTTTTTCGTATTTTCCATGTTTTTCGAGATATTTGTCTGGGGCGATTAAAATAAAACACACGATATATATGTTTGAACAAACACAATACATTTTAAAAAATTCAAAAAAGTCACCGTCTTACTCAAAATATGATGAGAAAATCAGTGAAAATATGATTGTTCCTGACACTTAAAATAAATAACTTTTTTCGTAATAATTTGTATCAGATTACTCGTTTTTGTAATATTTTGATACAAAATATTTAACTTCTTAATGTGCTATTTTCTCTGTTGTTATTGATAAATATCTTAATATTACAAATATATTATAGATTTTTCAATCACTGGATATACACTTGTTGGAGCATTTACCTTATCAGATTCTGTATAGGATATTAAATACACAATAAATATCAATCTGTATTTGTATTCTTTTAGTGATTCTACCTCATATCGGAAGCGCAACCATAGAAACTAGAAGTGAAATGGCTTGTATCACAGCAAAAAATATAATAGCTGTTCTGGAAGAAACTCCCCAAGGAATGCCTGCAGAATATACAAATGTAAATTCTTAACATTGTTTTTAATTATATAATGTACATACAGTGAGAAATTCTCAATAATCATAATTGTGATATACTTATTTTTCAGTCAAAGATAAACTTTTGTAATTTAATTTTTCAATGATTTATATATGTACATAGTACAAAGTGTATAACTTATTTAAGAGTGTATATTATATAATTATATTAATTAAAAATCAGTCTTTTAAAGTACGAGGTATAAATCAATCTTTTTACACAATATTTTTCCATAATTATTACGTGTATCTTACATTTACATATTATTATATGTCCTTTTCAATTGAGTTTCTATTATCGCAACATCTTTAATAGTAATAAAACCTGTTCATATATAGTAAAATGTAAAGCCGAAGTCGTAGCGGCTTTCATTTGACTCGGCACTAAACCTTTGAATAGACCTTGCGCACCCTCTTCTTTTACCGTCACTTTTAAGCAATCCAGTAATCCGTTGCATTGGAAAAATTTGCCGAATTCTTTACGACCATGCTGGAAACCTTGTATCTGCATTCTCTTTTTAGCGAGATCGAAAGGGTACACAATCATTTTCGCCATAAATCCAGCAGCGCTACCAGATAAAATAGAATTATAGAAACTGATATTGGTATTGGAGGTGTATCTCTTATAGAGATCTTTGAAGAGCTCGTAAAACATAAATTGCAGGCCAGTGTGAGGACCAATTTGCAATAAAGTTGGAAACAAACCGAAAAAAAAAGTCCTTGGTGATTCTTGTCGAAGGATCGAACTGGGAAAAAGAGATAAAATATACATATCACTCCAATGTAAAATTGTTTTTATAAAGCTAATTTTTTATAATTTCTTATGCTAATTAGTAAAATGCTGACAATGAGTTAAAATAATCAGCAATACAAATTAATGGAAAAAGTAAATTCTTGTTACCTACCTGCAAGAATGTAATATTCCATTGTATACCTGATGATTACGCGATTGAGCCACTAATCTAGTTCTCATAGTGTCAAAAGGAAATGAAATGATTGTCGCCACACTGCCAGCACCAGTACCGGCGATAAAATGTATCGTGTGATGCCATTCTTCAATTTTTGGAACTTGTTGCAGCGTTTTCAGAAACACATTGTAGGAATAAAACTGCATGTACAAACAGTATATGAATAAAAAAACATAGAACATATAATAAGATTTTTAATTACTGTAAAAGCCCAAAAGTTTTTTATCTATATATAATTTTACAATTTGTCAATCTAAATCATTGAGTAAATTTTATTTGATATCTGATTATACCTGACCCATTCCATAAGTAATCGAAATTAATTGTCCAGGTACATGACCCTTCCATAAAGCAGTAGGTCCTTCCTCTCTTAAAATTAACAGAACAGCTTGTGTTACAGACTTATATTTGCTAATGTGACACCTTGAAATTGGCTCTACTTGCAACTGTAATGCAAAAGCAGTAATTTATTAATTACAGGACTATAGAAGATATGTTAAAATATATATTTTACTATATAAATTGATTTACTTGAAACCTAATTTTTACAACATCCAAAGGTTGACATAGCAATCTCGTTATAAATCCACAAGCACTGCCTGCAATTGCATGATCTGAGAATAACTCAACTGTTTTTTGTATTAAAAAGCCCATAGTAATTCTGAAGCATATACAATTATTTGTTTAATTAGCATGGAATACAAAATCATGCTTGTATTAGAGATTCAATTTTGACTAGACTTGTGGTAGCCCATGGTGTAAGCCATGTGGTACACCATGGTGGTAGCCTTTCCAGCATGAACTTGTATATATTTTGATAAATAAAAAATCATTAACGAAATTAATCAGTACACAGTGACTTTGTCACGCTCATGAAACGGCTATTAACATGTGTGAATGAAATTCTTACATTGTTAAGAACTCGAGACTGAAGTAATTGAAGCAATAGAAGCCGGTAAACTCACATGACACATACAAGTTTCACAAATCAGTTAACCTATTAAGCCCAAGCTGCCCAACACACATTGTGTTTCCAGTTTTAGAAATCGGATACATTGGCTACGTTCCTGGCATATGCGCGCATTTTATATAGTGAGCGTCACGTATACTATAGAGGAATGCGCGTATATGCGTGAGGGTGCGATCATGATAGCTTTATATCATGGCTGACTGTAGGACACATAGATCAAAGGTACCGACACGAAGTGAAACTACTGTACTTACTTATACTGTGTCTATGGTGCTAATGCTAACCTACTCTAACATTACCTATCTTCAATATCCTCATCTATCTTTAAAAAAAAACCGCGCAAACAATGGTGGATTACAAAAACCTCATCTCGTAGGAATTTCCAGTATCGTAAAAGTACGATACAAAATAAAGGAGGAATCAATCACAAGGATGAAATCACTTGTGTGCTTGTTTTGTATAGCGATTATCGATTTTGGAAATGCATTGCCGATAAATGAAACTTCCGTTAACACGATACATCCTATTGTTCCTGACATAGGTAAATACGAACGCATCATAAAGAACATCCGAATTCTGAGATTTTTCCGAAGTATTAATAAAATTGTAAGAATGCAACAAAACTTATTAATGAGTTATTTTAAATTAAATTAATTTCTATTCATTTTTTTTTAATAAAAAATAGTACGTCTTTTTTATGCAAATTATTTATATCATTGTAATTAATTGATATATGGAAAATTTTCTGTTTTTTTTTAATTTAAACAATAATATATTAAACATTTTTAATATATTATTGTTTTCCTTTTTAAATTACCTTTTTAAATTAATAAGCAAGAATTAATTTTCAAGCACCTAATATATATAGATCACCATAAATGAAAATCATACAGACTTTTAACGCTTTCATGTAACACATTTCGGCTACTACTTTTTCCCATCTCTCAGGCAATTTTCAAATTCCATCTCGAAAAAATGACTCGTCTTTGGAGGCGATCATCTTTTGGAAAACGGACCGAACTAATTTGTACTCCCAATAAAATTATGCAATGAAACTGCATGCATCGTACTAAAATAATAAAATACAAATTACAGAATAAAAATCCTTTATAGTTAGAACATCAAATAAAGACTTATTACGGCTCTATGAATCGTCGCAAGATGCAGAGGTCCGTCCCGGTTTGTTCGAGGGAGATATAGCCGTGACAAGCGAGGTACACCCATATCGCTTTTTGTTTTATTTTATATCTTATAAAACGCGTTTTATATCATTTTCATGCAGTATTTCGATTACTGGCGCATCGGTTTACGCTGGGACGTTTTTCCGGATAAACTGTGGGAAAACAAGACAGTTCCTTATGTAATTAGCGCTTTATACGGTATGTTTAGAGAATATAACTTTACATTATATATTCTCTTTAATATCAGAAACTAATAGAGAATAATAGAAATAAGAATTTAGAAAATAACATATATGATTCAGATACAGTGGATTACATCAAAATATACAAAGCCATCACATATATAAATTATATGACATGCATAAAATTTGTTCCATGGGATACTAAAGCTAAAGACTTCTTGCTGATTTGGCCGATAATGTATCCCAAAGGGTGAATATTCCCATATTGTAAAAAGCGCAGGTCAAACGTTACGAAAGAGATGATTAATCCGTTCTTTTTGCATCGTGAAATTAATCCGCAGGTGTTGGTCATTTGTGGGAAAATTCGGTGGAGCTCAAATACTCTCCTTGGAACCGCCTGACGAAAAGGGACCAAATTGTTTGGAAAACGAGGGAAGAGCAATACATGAGTTAATGCACGCTCTTGGTATCTTTCATGAGCACAGTCGCGCCGATAGAGACATGTATATAGATATACACTATGACAATATTATTCCAGGTATATAAATTCATATTTAGAAAAATTATACAATATAATACAAATCCGTATAATTATACTGCGCACAAAAATTACATATTTTATATATTATGTGAAAATAACATGTATTTCTTTATCAATATTTTTTGTTGTAGAATTTCGATCCAATTTCAATAAACAATCGCCCGAGAATGCGACTTACAGATACGAGTACGGATACGACAGTATAATGCATTACGGAAGTCATTTCTTCAGTATAGATCCTACAAAACCGACTCTAACTCCGAAAAGACCTGGCGTCATGATTGGCCAACGAAAAGCAATGAGTAAAATTGATTGTTTAAAACTGAACGATCTTTACGGATGTTTGGATAAACCGGAACAAGCACAAATATATCACAATATTTGTAAAATATTTGGATTATAAAAATCTAAATTATAAATAATAATTTATGAATATACTGCTTTTAAGGTGGTAAAAGATAAACTTATATAGATGAAGAAATATGAATCAAAACACAAAATTTATTTTATATATAGTTTATATTATAAAATTTATAAAACTTACATAAATTATATTATATGTACGTTCTAGACAATATTTATTTTTATCTTTGATAATTCATGTACTCTCTTTACATTGCTAACAGACATGTGTGTTGTATTATAAAATTATCAGACGCTCAAGTATAAGCACATTACACTAAATAATTGAACAAAGTAATGTATTTTACGACGTAACCCACTTAGTTTTTAGTAAATTGATCGATCCAATCTTTCAAGATATCTTCTTTGTATTATAAAATTATCAGACGCTCAAGTATAAGCACATTACACTAAATAATTGAACAAAGTAATGTAATTTACGACGTAACCCACTTAGTTTTTAGTAAATTAATCGATCCAATCTTTCAAGATATCTTCTTTGTATTGTGTAAGTTGGAGTAACTTTTTATTCACGGAAAGTACTAAATGTTCAATCCTTCCTTATCCACAGTGCTTTTTATATTGTTTTCCACAGTGTATTCTGTAATTTCCAATTGATAAATATTAGAATTTTATTTTAAAATTTTTACTATTGTAAAAATAACAATTTAAACTATCAGTTCTTCCTAGAGGTTAAAAGATGTGTATAATCACAGTGATATCATATACCAATATCATCATATTATAAAAATCTTATTTTACTTTTATTAATTATGAAAACTTACTTATATTTATAACTCCCATTTGTAACATTTTCTTTGTGCACAGATGTTATATTTACATTAAATGTCTGCATTATTGATATTTTTCGTAACATAAAACTTTAAACATTTTTATTTGTGATAAATATGTACAGACATTAATCGTTATTCTTTTCTGATATATGTTTGAAGCGATTTTTTAGCTTTTTTAATCCAGTAACATTCTTGTAACATTTTTTACTTTCAAGCCAGTGTTAAATTTTCAAGCTTTCACATTTTTTCTAAGTTGGAAAATATCCAAAAATTACAAACAAAATCTGGGCCATATGCTGAATGACCCAACTGTGCACTAATGTTGCATAACATTTGTCCACCAATGTAAAGCTTGACATTATTTTGCAAAAGAGATGTTTCTTTTAGACTGTGTTATCGTTTATCGTTTGCTTCAGACAAGTATGTAAAGCATTGGTGTAATCTTCTTTATTCAGAATTTGTTCTGGAGGTAATCCTGTAAAATTAAGGATGATTAAATTAAGTATATGTGTATCAGTAAACTTACAAAAGTATGCATTAGCATATTTATGTGAAAATTAAATGTTGGCAACTTAGAGAAACGGCTCCAGACAGTATCGTGTGGATTCCGAAGGCAAGTTACCTCTTTTCTTTACCTCTCACAAGCATTCATGCTCCAGCGAGATACAAACTGGAGGCATGCCAAAATGAGAGGACCAAATCACCACATTGGTAGAAAAATGATACAAATCAACAAATTAGTTACATAGAATTGCAACATAGAGTTGCAATGTTAGAATTTTGAAAACTTATGGCATAATTTTAGAGAATGTGTAATATATATGATTAAAAATATAACTAGGAAAGTGAAATTACACATATTCATTAATTTAATTAAAACGTTTGAATTCAAAACTGAAAAAATGCTCTACAAAAAGTTACTATAATTATGAGATGTGTTATTTTTCTATCAACAGCAAAATATCGTCTACTTATAGAGAATACAAAATTTTTAGAAATGATGATTTTGGTGAAATTGATAGATAACAGAGTTTTTCATTCGAGATTGCAAATGTTCGTTATTTTGATGAAATTCATTCTAACCGTATGCCACCGTATGCCTAAATTAAACCACGTGGCGATTACAAATTTCACGAGAAAACGATTAGAAACAAAATTCGAAGAACGCGAATTTAAAGATATATTTATAAAAATTTGTGCACACAAAGGAATAACCGGCGAAAAATTCTGATTTTAAAAACTGTTAAAAAAGTAAAAATATATGCATTTATAAGGTTACGAAAAACTAGGAAGAGACATCTTACCATTCTTACCGGAGCCAACGATGGAAAGAAATGGAACCAATGGAACAAACGCCAACCGGCCCAAACCGGTCAACGACGGCAACAGCGCCAACTATCATCAGTGTCTGAAAGTAGGAAATTTCCGGTTTAAAGGTACGTTTTCAATTTTTTCACACTGATATTTGACTTGATTTTTAGCGTTAAAACAGATTACGTAAACAAAATTAACACTTGATATTCGTTAATTTTTATCATATGTGAGACTCATTTTGATGCTAAAAATGAATGTCAAAACAAGCGTTATGAATAAACGCATTGGAGTGTTACGTCCTGGACAAGACGCCGGGCAAGGATGATAACTATTATACCGACAGAGCGTTTGTCCCGTCAATTTTTTTAATCGTTTCTAGTCAATCAATCAATCAATCTTGGTGATGTGGCCGCGTCTCGAATTCCTAGCTGGGACGAAATGGCCAGAAATCGTTTCTAGTGTTATGAGTCGTAATCATTATCCTTGATTTAGAGAGGATAAAAGAAAATCCGTAGGCCGAGCCGAAACTTACGGGGGCTTTTTACTCTATTAGACTTATAATAATTAATTTGAAAGATTGTGGTAGATATCAGTATTTTGAAAATGTATATATATAATTGATGATAAAATAGAATTTTGTAGAATGTCTAATTATTTGAATTGAAGTTCGAAATAATTATCATATAATGGGATAATGAGATTTAAATAAGATTGATTGTGATAAGATGACATTTTTGCATTCTGGCCTAATGAATCAAGATCATTGATAATAGTGGTCAAATGATTGGATCAAATGGTGAGAAAATGCGCGCAGTGGTCTGACACGAAACGAGCATACCCTTGTCTTTATACCATGATTACTATGTTGTACTGTATCGCTTGTTGGAAGGCACACAGTATTTGATCGATGCACAGGGACACTAATCATCTAATCTGATATTATGTAATTTTCAATTCACGCAAAATTCGCGGGCGATCAATCGCAGAAGCGTCCGCCAATCAGAGTTCGCTGCTTTGGCCGCTTGATCCGCGGCAACTGGCAGCCCCTCTCCATCTATTTTTAAAAGCGCAATACGTGCCAGCGTGACGTTTCGCGCACGAACGTTCTCCAACGCTGAAGACAAATAATCGCGAGCGGGCGAACATAGGTGAACGATATTGCTCGACAAATATCGAATATTTTCGTATCTTGCTAATCCAGCACGTGTCGATTCAGTTCAGATCGTGATTCCTCGGGCATTCGACAAGACGGGCGACGGATTTGGGCGAGACGTAAAAGCGCAGTTGTCTAAAAGGAGCGAGAAGAGTCATTCGTCGAGCGTTTCCCGATAATATTCCGCGCGCGGCACCGGTCGATCGGTTCATCGATTGTCGCGTGTTAAAGACGCCGTTCCAGGGTACACCGTTTTCAGGACTCGCCGAGTGGAATCGAGTGGAATTCTAGCGACCGGAAGCGACAGGTTGTCGGTCTCGGTGTCCGAGGCGCGCAGCCGCGACTCCTCCGTTCGTTTGTTTTCGTTTCGACTTTCGGACGTACCGGCCACCACGTATCTCCCCAAGATTCGTTCTCGCGTCGTCGAGTGCCTTTGCGCGACGTTCGCGATCCTGTCACCCGCAGCGTTCACCCACGTCACCTACGACATGGCTTCGTACGGGCGGTATTGTGGCAGGAACAATCAAGAGCTCGTGCAACATCTGCGGCGTAAGTCCACGCGTAGTTATGCAATGTTGTGTCATCGAGATCCTCCTCCTCCCCCCCCTTCCTCTGGCAATACCGCTGCATGCCCAGCTCGCTTCTATCTCGTTGACGTCGAGATTAACGTAGTATTACAACGCAGTTTATGCAATTTGTAATCTAATCAAGTTCAAACTGTAAAATAGAAAATGACCGATTGTTGCCTTTGCGTTTTATTTTGAAATCATTTAGTTTTTGAAAAACACATTTATGTATGCATGTGTGTATGTGTACAAAATAATTTCAAAGATTACAGAGAACATAAATTTTAACTTTATTATATTTTTGTATTTATGTTATTCAGAAGAAACATAATACATATACTATATGATAAAATTATTTCAGGGTTCAGAATGATCAAATCAGACAGAATAATTTGATATGATAAGTTTATTTTGTGGACACACAGAAGAAAATTACATTTAAATTTAAAGTAGTTTAATTTGAAACACATGTTTACATATGTATATGTGTGTGTAAAAATAATCTAGAATTAATGAAAAAATATAAGTGTCAATTTTATTATATTTTTTATATTCTTATTTATATTATTCAGCAGAAATAATACGTGTGTATGTGTGTGTGTGTGTATGTGTAATGTGTATATGTATGATAAAATCATTTTAGGATCCAGGGTGATCAAATCTGACAGAGTATTTGACGTAATGAGTTCTGTAGACAGAGGAAAATACACTCATCCCATTAATGCCTATATAGACGCACCACAAGGAATCGGTTATGGTGTTACCATCAGCGCTCCTCACATGGTATAATACAATGTATTCTTTTCTTTTGTGTCTAATTATAAACTGCCAATATCATGTAATGTCCATAAATTAATACTTTGTGTTATGATATAAGTAAAAGATCACTTGCAAGAGAGTTATGTTTAAAAGTAAAGTACTTTTTGCAATAATAGTAAATAAATGAATGCACACTGACAAAAAAAAAACACTGAAAAGGAAATTACAAGTTGGAAGACAAACGGAAATTCTTTAGCACGCGTATGCCCTGGAATTACTTGAAGAAAAGCTGCGTAACGGTACAAGAGCACTAGATGTTGGTTCTGGATCTGGATACTTGACAGCATGCATGGCTCTTATGATGGGACCACAGGGACTGGCCGTTGGAATCGATCATATTCCAGAGCTTCAAGCAATGGCAGAAGAGAATATTCGACACGATCACCCAGAACTTTTGACAGATGGACGCGTAGAATTAGTTGGTAAGTAAAAAACTATTTTTAAATAATATATAATATATACTATGTAACATGTTACTATTCTCTGTGTGATAAAATTATTAAGTTCATTTTTTGTGATTGCACTTATTTAGTTGGTGATGGAAGATTGGGATATCCAAGTCGTGGACCATACGATGCAATTCATGTGGGAGCAGCCGCCAAAGAAATGCCACAACCGGTAAAAATGTCTTCAAAATTATTGTTAAATATGTTGAAACACAGACTACAATATTTTCCATCTTATAGTTAATAGATCAATTGGCACCTGGTGGACGTTTAATAGTACCCATGGGTCCAGAAAATTCAGATCAAACTTTAGTGCAAATCGACAAGACTGTGGATGGCAAAATTAAGCAGCGATCTCTTATAAGTGTGGTGTTTGTTCCTCTCACCGACAAGGAACGACAATATCGTCGATCATGAGGCACGTGCTTGCTCCAATAAGTGAGCGCCATTTTATTTATGTTCGTGGTTACGTTTGTTATTTTGCTATTTTAGAATCTCATGCGAAACAGCTTTATTCATGTAAAAAAATATCTATATAAAATTATTTAAATTGTATGACAGTTTGTAAGCACTATACTGACATATATTTGCACAGCAAAATTGTTATAAATTATTTTAATTAGTCAAAGCTTTATCAAAATTTAGTTGTCAGGACAACTATCAAAATATTACAGTATATTCAAGATTACGATCTTATAGATTTGTTTCATAAGAAAATGCATTAGTGTTACAATTTCTACTATTTAAAAAGGATTTGATTTTGTATCTAGTTTAGGTTTTTCAGCTTATAAACTAATGCTCATCTAAATAGTAAATTTGTCACTTGCTATTGCTTAACTTAGATTTACACAAAAAATAATATTTCTAAGTCATAATTTTTATTATTTATCGTAATAATTTTATTATATAAATTTTTAAGATTTTATTTCATGGATAGACATAGAACTATATTAATATCATTAAGTATTTTATTTATTAACATAAAATTGATCATATTTCTATTTTTATGAGACATATATTTAATATTTATTAATATCTTTTTTCATTTGTCGCATCGTAATTACTATCTGTATTTCTTTTTAAATTGCAGATACTATGTTTAAATATACATAATCTCTTCAATATAATTTACAATGATATAGTCAAATATTTTATAATATATACCTATTTGTTTCTTTGATGTAATATATACATGTAACATTTGTAGAATTACATTCTTTTGTTCTAAGATATTTATAATAAATGTATCACATATAAACTATATATAAATCTGAAGGAATGTAATTTATAAATAATATCAACATCGTCTGTTTCTAGTAATTTGATGCCTACTATAATACATCTTGAACAGTCAAATATAATAATACGAAATTGCGCCATGCAATTGTGTTAAATAGATAATTTCGAAACTAGTCATAAAAATTACATATGATGTAGATTCTTACTCAGATATTTAGTAAAACACTCCACAGAAAGCTGTGCTGAAAAAATTCTTCAGGGTTACCACAAGTCAGGGAATTCAAAATTGCATCAGGGAAAATCAGAGATTTAGTAAATTTTACTGAAAAAACAAAATAGCTGTAAAGAAATTTAAAATATCTGTTTAGCTTGGTGTCTGTTTCATTTATATCACTGTTGATCTAAAATCGACTGTGATAAAGTTGAGAAAGAATTTAACATTCTTTGTCATAAGAATTAATTTATGCAAGCAGTTTGTTAGGGAAAATCAAAGAATTGATCATTTCTGGAAAAACTTCAGAGTCAAGATAATTTCCAGAATGTTTGTTTTTGTGAAAAAGGTCCTTATTCTGAGTCATGATCAAGCATTTGTTATAAGCAGATCGAGATTTTAATAAATTTAATAAACAGGACGTAGTAGAGAAGAAGAGAAAATGAATCGTGTTCATACATAAAAGGAAAGATAAACAATACTACTAATTTAACAATAAAATGCAGTGTCAGCAACATTAATAATAATTTAATTACACTGTTACGTTTTAAATTGCTCGATCAACAAAATATTTAACAATTTTGAAATCAGGATAAAAATACAAAAAACATTTCAAAATATGTATTATTGAAAGTGAGGGAAGATCATAAAATTATATCTGGAAATCAGGGAATTTTAGGATGAAAAATTTGTGGCAACCCTGTTCTTCGTAGAAAAAAGAATTCTCATAAATCAGTAGCAATGTTTTACTGGGATGACGATAGAGAATTAATTTATACTGTTATACATTTAAAATCTCATAATAAAAATAATAATATAATCTCATAGTCCTACTTGATTTCGATTGTACAAGGGGCAGTGAGATGTATGTATCTTATTTAATTCTTTTAAGGAGTCTAATATTAAAGAGCCTTCACCATGTATAAACTGAGTGCAGCGCCAGATGCTAATCCTATACCCAAAAAGGCACCCATCATTGCAGACGCAATTTCTTTTTCCTGATTGTCTACGACTCTATAAAGTCAATATATACAATTAGAAAATAATCTCTTGCAATTAATGAAGTTTTATTGTTAAATATACTTACGTGGGCGCGAGAATGAATGTTAAATTACAGAGATAGCCATTAGTTACAGCGAACGCAATAGTTATCAAGATGTAATATATATCACTGTGAATATAAACTGGTAGATGATGCCTCGGTTGCGCATTGCAAAACATAAGTGCAGGTATAAAAATACCTCTGGCGACGCTTAAAAATATTATAAGCCATGGCTTGCCTCTTGGCTACAAAAATAAAAACTTAATAAACACCGCACAAATAAGTATTTGCAAATGGTAAATTCTCTCTTAAAGCGTAAATTCTCACCCATTGAAAAATACCACATAATACTCTTCCTGCATAATCACCTATACTGAAGATAAGATACGTAACCACAGGTACAAAGTATATATCTGAAAAGTCATTTCAGATTATATCCATGAACTTGTTTGAAATCTATAAATTTATTATATACGAATTTGAAATTACCATTCCATGCATGACTTTTGCCTTTGTTTTCGCTTTCTATTAGCACAGTAACCGCCGGATACACAGCTAATGATATGAAGAATATTAAAAATATGCTAATACCGTAATGCCAGATTCTTTTTATAATCCGTGTGTAAGACACACTTGGACTTATCGAGAAGCTGACTTCTCCATTTATGGAATAATCTGTATCTAATTCAGGTACTTTCTCTATCATGTGATGCTTGAAAAATGGCTGTAAGAAAAAAAACGTAGAGCAATGATTTTTAAATTAAATTTTGTCAATCTAATTAACGAAATTGTTTGTAAAAAGAACTTTAGTTAGAAATGCTACTGTATTAAAACAAAAATAATCCTATATCACTTATTTCGACTATTTATTTATTCTATTTATCCTTTACACTTTCAACAGATGTGCGGTAATATAATACATGTCGTTTATTATCATAAGTAGCTTATCATATGTTTACAAAACACTTGTGCTGCATATATCATCGTTTGAATGAAACGATAAATGTTAATGATCTCATTGTTTTGTACGATACAGTCATTTATCGGATTAAAAAAAACGCAATAAGATAATAAATTAATTCCCGAAAGTATGTTTAAACAAAATTGACTCACTGCTTTTTCCAAAAGGATGTATGCGATTAGCGATAATAATAAAATAGTGTCGCCGATAATAAAGTATACTAAGCCAGAAAGTACTGGACTGGCACCTATCCACAAAGAACAAATTTCCGTTAGAGCCGTGAATATTCCACCAAGAGCTTGTCCACTGGACATGGCAGTTATATACTTTGGTGAAAACTTGCCCACTATACCCATTAAACTCCCTCCAAAAATTGCACTCGCAGCTAAAAGTTTATATTACCGTTGTCTTACAAACTCAATTATAATATTGAAATAACTTTGTCATACATTTAATTATTTAAAAACATACGCACCATTTACAAACGCAACTGTCGTCAAAGTAATTATTAGAAATGTATTTTGCCCTGAAAATATTTTATTTTATTTCTGAAGTAATAGAAGTATTTCTAATTAATATGATAAATCAATGTATCGATAAAATAATTTGCTAATTTACATTTGTCTGTATTCATTTCCACAAATGCAGTCGTCAAGATGAAGAGCAACAATATTGCACATTGAGAACCCACCATTCTTACAGTTAGTGAGACTCTAGAAATTTAGAAATTTTAAATATTGCTTCTATCTTTTTACACTACATGATATAATGTTACTAATCATTTTTTTTTTTATATTTCTGTCTTATAAAAATTGCATAAAATACATCAAATATTCTCTTGTATAGGGCTCCAGTTATTCGATTTTAAAAGCAAATGTAGTCATAAAAAGAAAATCAAAAGTATATAGTAACTTTGAATCACTCTTACATATACTTGTCTATTATTTTCTAGCAATAATGTTTTACTTACTTCTTGCTAATAAATGCATTTAGTATTAAAAACAGAGTATTTGGTAATGCACTGGCTACACTCAAATAAGAAGTAAAACTAGCTTGAAGATCCGTTTTCTGCTCGAGTAATTCTGCATACGTATGACTAAGATTCGTCGAATTATTGTGAATTTCTCTAAATTTATACATCCAGTACTAAAAAAAAGATGTTATATAGGCAACAGTATTCCGAGTGTAAGAAAAAAAAGCAAAGAAATTTCACTTACGTCGTCAGCAGTAATAAAAAAACTCCATGGTATTAAAGTATTTATGCCAAGTAAGTAAAATACAATGTATGCAAGATTATATCTAAAATATACAAAAAAATTTATCAGTCTAAATTAAAGATTTTATATATAATATTAATAAATAATTATGTAAACTATCAAATTAAATTTAAGTAGTGGAACAACATACTTGTCATGTGGCTCATATGGTTTCAAAAATGGTTTCTCGTCAGGAATTATAATGTTAGGATCGTCCACTTCAGTTTCCAAATCATCTTCAAATTCGCTATCATCCGTACCTCCTAATAAGGGTCTTCTATTGATAGAGTATGACATAATTTCTCTCTAACGGACAATAAAATACGAATCAAAACTGAATAACTGATATATACAAAACAAAGAAATATGCATAACGTGAAATATGAATAATTATTTCATTACACGAGTCAATGTGTTATATTATCGTATAAATAAATGAATCCAAATATGTAAATGTTTAGACGTTATGCATACATATTGCGCACGTTTTACCGTTGATATAAATTTTCCTGCTCACGGCCTGCAGATGAACAAAGCTTCTTGCACCGAACACGTGTTTCCTTGTAGGAAGCCGTACTCACGGAAGCTGCACGAAGTATGGAAATATCCTGGCCGTAAACGAATAATAAAATCAGCGATTGTGCGTAAATATGAGAAGCCGTGATTGAAGCATCTCTGGCGGAGTCAGGTAGGAGTCTGGCACGAACGTTGTCTGAGAAATCACACCTAACATTCGAGGACCTTCGATATTCCTAAACATGGATAGAGACTCAACCATTATGAAATATCTTCCACTTTGGTCCAGTCGGTCCGCTCCAGTATGCTCCGACAGACTGAGAGCACAAACTCCTGACTGGCCAATCTCTTGCATTTACGTATAGCTGGCATTCTTCGACTGCATCGTTAACCACTCCACACTCCACTTGACGGCACGCCTTCTTCTCAATGAGTCAACGCTGGTCAACACGCGTTGTGTCAATCAGCTGATCGCGAGATTTACCCCTACTCTGTCTAGTATAGACATGTCATTGAGCAAAAATATTGACTAAGTGAAAAAAAAATATATATATATTCCGATATTTTAAAACTATCTACTCTATATTATAGTATAAATATAAAGAGGGAAACGTAAATTAACGAACAATTCAATTTAAACAAATCATATAAACATATCTAAAACGAATGTTTCGACTCCGATCGGGTGTCATTTTCAATGTTACATAAAACGTATGAAGTATTATAAATTAAAATATATTATATACATTCTCTTGATTAAGTAAAAAAATATTCTCAATTCTATACCCTTTAATGTTGGTGTCGTAAGCATAATTAATCCTTGTCAATAATAAAAGAAAAAGAAGTAATCGAATGTGAGAAGAATAATCGACTGTGAGTGGTCAATTTCTTACGACTTAAAACTTAAAACTTAGGTAATGGCTTATTGTAGAAGGTCTATAACATGGATGCCATTAAGGTAATCGTACTGCACTATAGAAAATATAAATCTGAAAACTCATCGAGTTCTAATGATGAATGGCATTTGAACCACGCGCGGGGCGATGAGGTGAGGGGGACAACATTAAGATACAACATTTTGGAATAAAAATTAATTTATAAAACTTGCAATTGCTAGTATGTGTAAAAGTGATCTAAAATATACAATATTTTAAAAACAATGCAATTGCTTTTTTGTCTTAATCTTTTACATGTCATTCGACGAAATTTATGCGGGTGTCTGAACTTCCATGAACAGTAGTGTATGTACAATGCAGAAAAATATTCTAGTGCTAATAGCGTTTTCTCTTGGCTGCACCAATGCAACACTCAGACAGTAAGTCTGTTCTTTATTGCTGAACTTTTGCACTAGTTCATCTTTCTCTCCAGGAGAAGGGAAAAGGAAAAAAGATGAACTGGTGCAATCACCCTACACTGGTGCAGCCAAGAGAAAACGCTATCAGAGAGGACGCAATTTTTAGTAACGATTATCTTCACAAAGAATATTTTCTTGATAATACAATTTAAAATACAATTAGGTATTATTTACTTGAAACAAGTAATATTTATGTAACAATTTTCTGTATGTACATGCGTACGCTTTAAAACGAACTAAACTGAGTTTTCGAAGAGTTCTTCATCATTTCTCAATTTTCAAGATATTATTTTTAAAGCGCCGAATATCCGCGAACATCTAGTGACTATATTGGTTCCGGTGACGTGAACGTGTTGGAGCGTGCGCCGCGGACAAACCTTATATCTACCGTAATGTTTATGGGATTATGGGCCTTCTACAATAAGCCATAAGTCATAAATCGGAAGTAAGAAATTAAAAATTGACGACTGTGATTGGTCCATTTCTAGCTTATGACTTATGATTTGTGACTTACGGCTTATTGTAGAAGGCCTATTATCCTAAGCTCCTTATGATCCTTGCAACAGCCAATCAGAAGCGTTCTAATACACATTGATATTTCTAATCGGTTATCATAAGAATTGTAAGAGCTTACGATGAACAATACAATAGATATAGATGGGCCTTTGCCGATTACGACTCACCGATAGCGGTTAAGCAAAGACTTCCAATTACAGACTAAAAACTCATTATAAACCCGCCATAAGTGCTATTTCCAAAATATGACAAAATCGTCTTTAGGATCCCCTTAAGATTAAATTTAAAAGGATTATTAATATTTCAGATGGATTGCGTTAAAAGTCTGATAATAAGGCACACATATGCAATTATAATTTTGAAATAAATTAATTTAAAGAATATATTATAGTTCAACATTTCTTTGACCGTATTGGTACTTCTTGAATATAAATATAAAAACAATATATAATATAAAGTAAGAAATGAATTAGAGATGTCACTACTATCAAATTTGAAATTAAAAATGTCCATACTATCGATATCAAAAGTTCAGCTAGTCACTCCTACCAGAGAGAAATCTGAGGGGCCATGCCAGCCTTTTTCCTGTTACCACTGAAATTGCTCGTACACTACCCACCAGTACATCCATTTTTGGTTTAGAAACTACATGGCATATGCATTTTGTGACTTATCTTTGTTGATAAAATCATAGAAAATGTCAAAAATGGATATAGTGGTACATCTACACATTATAGATGTAAAAATAGTAACAGGAAAAAGGCCAGCATGGTCTCTCTCAGGTTTCTCTCTGCTCCAGCACACGGACTTAGGAATATAGGGACAGAGCATATATAAAGGGGTGAAGTGGTAGGAGGGCTGCCATGTTGGTTTCAAAGATCGTACATATATAACATATAATACGTGTACGTGTTGTGATATAAAACTAGAAAAGATTAGAGAATTAATAAAATGGTCTATTAATAAAATGGTCGGAGTGAATTCCAATCGGAATTGTTCGCTTTTCTATAAAACACAATAGAAACTTAGGGAAGAACTGCATAATTTCAATTAGAATTTATGTAAAGTTATTGAAAACCAAAATGATGGAAAACGGTTCACTCCGCACGCCTGAGTTTCCATCCTCTTTCGCCTAAACTAGGCCTTTAGACTTCTATTCCTAAGTCCGTGCTCTAGCATCGCTTTACAATACACTGTTTTGCTGTGCAAACATTTTTTGTCTTTTAAATATTTGTCAGATTTTTTTAAAGTTCATTATTACTATAAAGTTATTTCAAAGTCACGGAATTAACATCCTTTTTTTTTGTCCTCGAGAACTATATACAATATTTTTTGTTTATACTATTCAAACCTTTTATATTAGAAATGTGCATTAAACACCACATTTGATATGTTACTCGTTTTTTGAGATTCTTCTTCCACAACTCCAAACTTCTTGTACTCGCCCACTTTTTTCTCGAAGAAATTTGTCTTGCCCTCCAGAGAGATAAAATTCATAAACGAGAACGGATTCTCCGAATTGTAAACCTAAATTTATCATAATATTCTTAGTAAATAAAATTAAAATAAGATTTAAAATTTTATTACAAATTATTAGTATCTTTCAGTATTATTATTGTGTACAAAACATTAAAAAATAAAAAAATCAAATCGAACTTTATATATTACCTTTTCAAATCCTAATGCAACGAACAATCTGTCCGCGACAAATTCGATGTAATTACACATAAGTGTGCAATTCATACCTATTAATTCGACAGGTAATGCCTGTGTTAAAAATTCTTTTTCAATTTCCACGGCATCCATTATAATCGATTTCACATGCTCAAATGATGGCTTTTGTATGATATGTTTAAACATTAAACAGGCGAAATCACAATGTAATCCCTATAAAGAAAACGATAAGTACAAAACAATTTATTTAATTGAATAACCTATAGATATAAAAAAAATAATTTACTGACTTCATCTCGCGAGATAAGTTCATTGCTGAAGGTGAGACCTGGCATAATTCCTCGTTTTTTCAGCCAAAATATAGCTGCAAAACTACCGCTGAAGAAAATACCTTCGACAGCCGCAAACGCGACTACACGTTCAGGAAATGTAGCACTCTCATGATTGATCCAGTTTAATGCCCAATTAGCTTTTTTTCCCACACAAGGAAGTGTCTCAAGCGCATTAAATAAGAAATTTCTGGAAATAAGATTTAATAATGTAAAAAATTTCAATAATATAATATACTTAAAACAAATATAAATTCAGTATAAATAAAATAATGCGTTAGATGAAGTACATAAAACGGCCGCGTTACTGCCATGATTGCCATAGTAATTATTACATATAATATATAAACAAGGCTGAGCGTGTGTCTAAATTACTTTTACTTAAAAAACGGTATTTGTAAGATAATTACATATTCTGAATTTGGTATTTCAGTAGAGCACAAGAAAATATTTTGTGTTTTATATTTCATAAAAGTATATAAAAGTATCTTATATTGTTTGTATTTCGGTATTAATAACAAAAGAGTAACAGTATTTTATATTCCAAATACTTAAGAATGACAATTAATCTTATTATTTGAATTACAAAATATATAAAATTTTCAATTTTGTAATTTTAAATACAAAATACGTACTTTTATTTACATTGCTAGAATATAAAATACACTAGAGTATTGCAAAAACTGTTTTATAAAAGTATTTCAAATACATGCCCACTTTTATATGTAAATGTAGATAAATGTATTCTTACTTTTCTTTTGGATCAGAAATATACGTTTCAATGAGCAAAGAATACATCTCAGAATGGATGTTTTCTATTGCAATTTGAAAGCCATAAAAACAACGTGCTTCGGTAATTTTTACCTCTTGACTGAATCTCTCAATCAGATTCTCATTAACAATACCATCGGATGCGGCAAAGAATGCTAAGACATGAGAAATAAAGTATTTCTCGTCAGAACTTAGCTTTTCATCCCAATCCTTCTTGTCATCCTGTAGAAATTACAAGAATTCATATATTGTTAGGAATATAAAATATTTATTAAAGTCTATTCATATTTTTAAATTTGTTGATTATTGAGCTATTCAATTTTCAAGCTATATATTTCTATTTCCAAAAAAAATATGTTGTGAAAGCAAGGTTTAAAAGCTTATACCTTGTGAAGATTTACTTCTTCTACTGTCCAAAAAGAGGCTACAGCCTTTTTATACATGTTCCAGATGTCAGGATATTGAATAGGAAACATTACAAAACGATTTGGACCTTCTTGGAGAAGTGGCTCCAGTTCTGGATTGAAGTCCTCCTTTAGTTGTATCTTTCGTACAGCCTTTGTCTTGGCAAGCTACAAATATGTTTTTATTATAAACCGGCATGTTTTCCAATATACATAATAAATACTGAAAATCTATATAATTCGGTTTAAATATACTATAGATTTTCAGTTACTGACAGTATATAGTAGTATTTATTTACACTTCAGCTTTACATACTGACAGTATATATTGACCTAAATATTATAGGTTAATTGATAAAATTTTAATATAAAATAAAAATCAAGAAATATATATATATACTTATATATTACTATATTATTATATATATATATTAAAATTAAATCATCACTAAGAAACATTATCACATTCTATAAATTACTTTATTAATTCAATTGCGAATGTACTATAAACTAATATGTTATAATTAAAAAATTCTTTTCCATTATTGAATCTAACATAAAGAAAAATTGATATAGACAACAAGATTGCATAATTTCATGCAAAAAATAGAAAACACTTCAGAGTAAACACTATTCCGATATAAAATATTCTTAATATAAAAATAGCAACAAAATAATAAATAAAATTCTCTCTGGCAATATTTTATATATACTAGGAAATATTTTAATTAAATTATTCAAACATGTTTGTTTCGAGCTAGATATTAAGTGGGTATCTAAATTTTAAATTGCGTATCTAATTTGTAAAACAAACAAATCCAAGTACGTGAATTAATTTCGATGAAAAGAAAATCCTAAAATTCAGAGAATAGAAAAAAAAAGGAAAAATTTTGAAGATATTTTCGCAGTTAAAATATTAAAAAAGAAATAGATACGTGACTGTGAAATAAAATATATACAGGATGTGTTCATTGAGAATTCATTTTAATAACACAGACCATACTTATACATATCTAAGTTTTTCATGTATAAAATCGTAATTCTCAAAAAATAATCCTATCGTAATATATATACATAGACACACATACAGAAAAAAAAATTATGTTAAATCAACAGCATTATTTTAATTGAAAATAATTTTGTTAATTCACAACATTATTAATGAAACAAATATGTGATGCTCCTGTTTTAATAAAATTTTATTTGGTTCATTGACATTAGCTGTTATTAAATTAACATTACTATTTCCAATTATAATAAAATAATGATGATATTAAAATATCATTTTTTAGACAAAGAGAGAGAGAAAGAGAGAGCGTGTGTGTGTGTGTGCGCGCGCGCGCGCATGCAAGGTGTTTCAGGATTTCACGGACAAACTATAGGAACATATTCTATGGACATAAAAAATGTTATATAAAGTTTGGCTAGAAATGTTTTATTATACAAAGTTATAAATGAATATGTATATTAAAACAGAACATGAAATAGAAAACAACGAACTTTGCATTGCATAGAAAATATACTTTTCGGGTAGGGAAAAGTCGAACGTGTTTATTTCGTATGTTTCATATGTATTCACATCATATTTACTATTTTTAAACGATTCAGTATCATTTTAACCTGCGCGTAATTTGTTTATAACTTTGTAATAACTGCATTTTTAACCAAACTTCGTATAAGATTTTTTCTTATCTGTTAAATTCTGGAATAGCCTGTATAATTGACTAATACATGGAAGTGAAACCACTAATCTAAATTGCCGTAAATATCCATGTATAAATTATTTTACTTCAATTATCAGCAGGAATTTATTCACTTATCTACCGCCACATTTACGTTCCATTTCAAAGAAACGCGGACGCATGTGTGCGTAAGAAGCAAAAAAGGATCCTACAACTCGGTGAATTTTTCCATTCGCGCTATTTGGCAATAATGAAGATGCGTATCAAAACCAGTAACAAGATTTTCGAGCTAGAAGAGTAGGAACAGAAAAAGACGAGCGGACTTACGTGTAACACGTCCTCCGGGTGCTTACAGCGGACGTTTTCTTTTGTTGATTCTTGCAATGCCATCGTTAATCAAGAGGTCTGTTTCTTTCTGTGGCTGAACTAGTGTATACTTTTAGAACTTAAAGTGAGATAGGTATATGTTCGATATTTGTAGGAAGCGAAGATTCGGATTCCAATGCACAGAAACCACGATAACTCGGTTACCGTTCTGCCGAACGAAGCGGGAAACACTGGCACTTTACGCGGGTAAAATCAGGGAGGATAAAAAAATAAACTCCTATCTTGGAAGAGGGGGCGACAGATTCCCTAGCGCCACCTGGCTCTGTGGCACCAAAATTGGAACTAAAAAGGCTCACCTGACCAGTAGTGGGGATATTCAAACCTATACGCGCATATCCATATGAACATAACCCGGTTCTAAGTTCCTGAGCGATGTGTTAACTAATGTTATTAACATTATTTAAGTTTGCATTATTTAAGATAGAGATATATACTGATTGCATTATTTTAGACGGAGAAATAGTATATTTCTCTATCTTAAATAATGCAAACTTAAATAATGTTAATAACATTAGTTAACACATGTTGCTCTGAAACTCTCTTAACACAATTTGTATCTGTATTAATAAAGGTGTTGACTAATATTATTAAAAATTCTTCTATTTTTATTAATATTTATTTAATAAATATATATATGTTTTATACATTTTTTAAATATTACTATAAAAGTTACAATTATTTTTCGCTATTTTTTTTTTTAATTAAAAATATGCAACACATTTTCCCGTCCCACTTTACAGACTGCGGACTGTCGGATATACAAATATCGAATACCCGGTGTGGTTAAAAAATGTGATACATATTGTATGATACGATATAATAAATGTAACAGGTATAAATACAAAGAAAAAGAAGAGAGAGGGAGAGGGAGAGAGAATAAAATACAAAGAATATATAAAGATAAGATTCTTTCGTTTCAAAAACGGATCGAATAAGCCCAATTTCATCGATTTTTGAACTGCGAGGCAGCTATTCTGTATAATTACTAACCATAGGAATATATACAAAAAAAGATAAAAAATAAATTGTAAGTAAATATAAGAAAAACTTACCGCTATATATATTTCTCAGTGCTTCACAAACCTTGTAGATGATTACCTTCAGAGATATTTGGGCAAACAATCACGATTTACAACAATTCACAATGATTAAACACGTGTAAACACGGTTACGTGAGAAACAGTGAGAAATTCGAAATGATTCGAGAAGCCAAATTACACTTCGTAAGCGTTCGTTGATGTTCGTAAACATTCGTCGACAACGGCCGACAACAACAACCCATAGCGGGGAGAACACGGTGCTGCCGCCTGACTCTGTGGCACCAAAATTGGTACTACACCAACTTCCGTCGTCCCCAAAATATATTGGAGTTTGTCCCCCTTGCTCGCGACTCGCGATTGGCTTCCCGTGCCGGCGTTTCGCGCCCAAACCACCACCCACCAATCAACTGATCGGGCCTTGCCGCCAATTCAGCTGATTCTAACATTGCCCGTCCTTTTCCCTCTTCTAACGCATTTCTCGGCCGAAAATATTTCCAGATGAGTTTCTCGCGGTCGGTTAGCATGATAAGAAGTGTATACAGAATGGTTTGGCGAACAGTATCTCTCGTGCGACTCTCGGTCTCGATGATGATGGTGGTTTCTCGCGCGTTTTAACGAGACTGCGCAATGAGCATTGCGGATGAATCATCGAGAAGGGAAGGGAGACGATTCTTGTGATAACTCTCTCTACAGAATGCAAGTTATATAGCCGTAAATTATTTGGATAAGTATTAACTTGCTAGACAAATAAAAATGGTCTTTTTTCTTTTTTTTTTCTAGTTATATGGCTTCGTCTTTATATCGTATATAAAAATCTATAATATATATGAGGCCTTGTGCATAAATATTAAATATAAATAAATAATATTATAAATTATGTAATATTATTATATATTAATTATGTCTTATTTATAGAACGTTCCACGTCAACGGGGACAAAAGTGTCTGGGCAAAATTTGTTAAGTCAAAATAAGATGTTCAAGGGGTTAAAATTTTTATTTTTATATATAGTTTAAGGAAAAACGTGGCGTTTTAAAAAATTCAAAGCAGCTGCTCCAATATAAATATAAAAACTTATGGAAATTATTTGGTTTGTTTTCTGTTCCTGCACTAGACTAAACTAGAACTCTCTTTCTCGCTTTCGACAATATCAAACATATACCCCATATACCTATCTTACTTTAAGTTCTATCTAAAAGTGTACACTAGTTCAGCCACAGAAAACAGACCTTATTACTGGATCCGTCATTTCGAATTTTGAAAATATGACTACGGATTGTTCATGAGTGATTTGAAACTCACAAATATCGATTTTCATGAAAATTGTATGAATTTTGGACCTCATTAATGAAATAAATGTTTTCAATAATTTCTATAAGTTTTTTTATTCATTCTAACTGCCATATTGGAGCAGCCGCTTTGAATTTTAAAAAATGCCACGTTTTTCCTTAAACTACATACAAGAACGAAAATTTTAAGCCCTTGAATGTCTTATTTTGATTTCACAAATTTTGCCCAGAAATTTTGCTCGTCTCCGTTGACGTGGAACGTCGCTTGTATATTTTTATTATATTATTTATTTATTATTATTATATATTATAATAAATATTAGAGAAATAAAAAATTAGAAATAGATTACGTATATGTCACATCTCAAATATAGATATGACATATGATGTATATTTATAATATAATATTGTTTTATCTTATTTCCATTGTGCATTTAATGTATTATACATTTTTAATTTATTTTCATTTAATATTTAAAATTTATTGTAATAATTTTTTCATGCGTAAAGCTCAATGCATACTACAGTAGGTATTTTCGTAAGCAATATTTTCCAAAAATAAGATCCTTAGATTGATAACAATAAAATTAAATCAATTAAAGTGTCTAAAATGTTTTCAATTAAATATTTGTTAAAAATGATCATGGAAGAGATAGTTAATATTACCAGAAACTTTCAAAAATTTTGTTTTATTCACTTGATGACTCTTCTGATGCAACTGTTTCTCAAATATTAAATAAGGATAAATAATGCTTGCAAGCGCGTGAGCGCCAAATGGGATACACGCCAAAGATTATTAAACAGCAGCTCATACTTTTACAATGAGTACGTTCTGTAATCTTATCGAAATATTTCTTTTTCTATCTTATTTTAAAAAGAAAAACGAACTTATATATACATAAAAGTGGATATGCTCAGTAATTCGTTACCAAAATCATTACATTTGATTAATCAATAAAAATTTAAATTGTTTATCGATCCTTATTAACATTAAATTATCACTACACTTGTAATTTATTTTTCTGTTAATTATTATATAAAGAGTGGAGACATTAGGTGATCATTGCAATAAACCATATTTATTTGAATAATAATTAGAATAATACAATAAAGAACGTTTTTAGCAGGCCAATTTCTCGGTAATGCTCATGAATGCTTTATGAATGTTTTCTTTATTTGGAAGGGATGCATTTCAAGATATACGCGCACCATTAAAATGTTTTTCCACAACAATCAATCAATATTAAAGAAATAACGATCTTTCAATAAATGCGTGTCTGCGTCGATAAAACAATTAAAAGTATTGCGAATATACTGTACATAGATAATAACGCTAAACTCTTAGGAACGATTAAAATTTCTTTTTCTTTCTTTTTTTCCTTTTCTTCATTCATGTAAATAGCATTGTTTAATTGTCTCGCTCTCAGTCTAAAACAACGAAAATCCTATATCTATTTGCGTATAACTTGAGATTGCATTTGCACAATTCTGTTCAAGAGGAGAAAATGGTTATTCATTTCAGATATTTTACGGCTCGGACCAGTGTTCCTTGTCATCCGTTGCGCTTGTGTGTGTGTGTGTGTGTATATATGTTGGGTGTACGATACGTGTAATACAGTGTGTATGTGTATGCTTTAAATGGCATCAATATCGAAGTCATCCTCGGAATCATTGTTGGCGGCAGCGACGGTCTTAGCGGAGGCAGGTTTCGGTGTGGCCGGTGGCTGTTGTTTTAGAGATTCCTGCTTGGCTCTATCGTCGTATTCAATCTAAAATGAAAAATTCGAAATGTCAGATATATATCTTTTTATATTATAAAGCTATATAAAAGAAAACATACATATATATATGAAAATAGTTTATGAAGCATAAATAGCGCAGAAAAATTTTCAAAAAATTTTATAGGGCGTTAAATTTAATGATGATTACTTTGAAGAAAATATTTCAAACCGAACTATTTTATTTCCAGAGTTAAAAGTTTTAAAAAGAAAAAAAAAACAAAAGTAAAAAAAGCTTCTATTGTATATTTAATTATAAATTAATAAAAGAATTATGGACAAAATAATTAAAAAATTGCATTAAAATATTAATGATTCTCTTAAAAGTATTTATGAACGATGAGTTTCACCTCCACGTCATCGTCTTCTTCCTCGGATTCAGACTCCTCTTCTTCTGCAACTTTTAACCATGTTAAAAATGGTGCAGCTCTATCATGAATCTCCTGCGACAGATCTTTTGAGACATATTTCTTGCTGACTTTGTTTGACCATTCATCAAATGCCTTTTCTTCCAAAATATCAGCATCGTAAAATAACTGTACATAAATATTTTAGCTAATTGATAATTTGATAGTAATATCTAATAATTACGGTATAAATTAATACTTTTTAATTTCTCTAATAAAATTTCTTAAAATATTTCTTAAAGAGATCCCAAAAATTTATTTCTTTACCTTGAGGATTCCGGGAACCTTCGGCATCAATGCATCCTTATGCAGCGCGATCACTTGTTCGATTCCTCTGATCAAATATTTCTGTGCTTTAATGTCATCATGAGTGAAGCGCAGCAGTAGCACCCGATATTTCTTCGCCTGTGCAGCGATTCCTTGATCAAATAACAGCTCAGCAAGAATCAACGGCGCCTTGGTCTTAATCTCGAGACGCTCTGCTTCGGCTACGAGCTCCTTATGATTGTTGTCGAGTTGGCCAGCATCGCGACGACATTTGACCAGTTTGTAGAACATGTCCATACGCTCTTTTTCGCTCTTATCAAGGTCATCACTGATGGTCATACCCTTAGCACCATCTGTCAGGTCTTGAAGA